ATGTTCCAGGATTAATGACAGTACAATTGATGCATTATGTTTTTCAAGATCACATTTCAATAGTGTACTACAGACTGAATAGTGATATTTACACTTTGTTGTGATTTAAATACATAACATCGCCTTCACACAAAAGTAAAGAAACAAGGAATATCTCCTTGTTTCTTACCAGGAGAACATTTGTTAGTTAGGAATTTAATTATGGAAGAACATAAAAAGAAAGGACATGCAGGCGTACAATATATACTGAATACCTTAAGAGAAAGGTTTTGGTTGTTATCTGGCAGGAGAACTGTGCGTTCTGTTTTGAGTAAATGCATTACGTGCAAGAGATATTCTGCTGTACCTGTTGACCACATATCAGCCCCAGCGCCAATACAGCGAGTAAATTATTCAGCAGTATTTTCAAGTCACGCTCACATTAAAGTCACCTTTGTAGTCCTTTATTGTTGAGAAACAAAGAAAAGGCATGGATTTGTGTTTTTACATACGCCATTTATACAGCGGTCCATTTGGAGTTGCTGACTTCTCTATCTACAGAAGTGTTTCTTCAGGCTTTTCATCGGTTAGTGTCGTGAAGAGGTAAACCCACAACTGTGTACAGTGATAATGGAACTAATTTTGTAGGAGCTTCAAATGCATTCAAATTAATAGATTTTGAACAAATTAATCGGCAAGTAGCCAATGAGTGAATAACATGGAAGTTTATTCCCCCTGGTGCTCCATGGTGGGGTGGTTGGTGGAATGTCTTATCAGAATGATGAAGCAAGTCCTTAAAAAGGTTCTTAAACATGCTTGTTTAAATTATGAAGAAATGTACACAATACTGTGTGACTGTGAAGTGATTCTTAATGACCGACCATTGACAGTAATTCCTCCTGATCCTGAATTTAAAACTTTAACTCCTGCCGACTTTTTAAAAGAAATTAGAACTAGTAGTTTGTGGGATATAAAATACGGTATTAAATCAAGTAATTTACAAAAAAGATTTCAGTATATTCAAACTGTACGAGAAGCATTTAAAAATAGGTTTCGTAAAGAATATTTGGGAATTCTCAAGGTTTCGCATAAAAGAGCTGAAAGGAAAGTTACTATTAAATTGGATGATATTGGTTTGATCGGTAGTAGTGACAAAAGACTTTTTTGGCAACTTGGTCATGTCATAGAACTACTTCCAGGACCTGATGGAATAAATCGGCTTGTACGAGTAAAGACTCGGAATGGAATTTTGCTTAGAGCAGTTCAAACTTTTTGTATCCTTTAGAGGTAACACAAGATGATGTACCCCTGTGAAGCTGCAGAATGAAAAACAAGATTTTAACTTGTTTTTCATTCTGCAGCAAGTCTGAACTTTAAACTCAGCGTAGATGATAAATCTGTGAGACCTGTAACACGATCTGGTAGAACTGTAACTCCGCCAGACAGACTGGCATATTAATTAAGGCTCTTCTAGCATTTGTTTTAACTTTGTTGTGAAAGTTCACTTTTTTTTTTTTTCCCCTTAGGTGGAAAGATGTTAAATATTTTGCATAATAGCCTGTAGTAATGGCAACCGCCGTCAATAAAAGCAGGTGCTTTCCTTGGTAGCGGTGCAGTTCATTTTCAGTTCGAGCCAGAGTAGACCTGCCCGGGGGAGAAGCCAGGAGATGATAGTTTCCGGTCCCCGTCCTGTTCCGGTTCCCATCCTGTTCTGGTTCCCGTCTTGTTCCGGTTCCTGTCTTGTTCCGGTTCCAGTCCTGTTCGAGTTCCAGTCCGGCCGTTTAAGTCCAAAACATGTAGGAGCTGAAGTCTGAATCCAGCAAAACTAAAATGGAGATATATGCCGAAAGGGCCAGATGGATTTTGTCCTTTTAAAGAAAGTGTTCTTCACCGTGCCAGAATAGCTGACAGTTTAAAGCATTGCCTGGAAATGTTGAATGTTTCCACCTAAGATGTTAAGTTTTCGTTTATGATGTTAAGTTTTTCATCATTTTTGAAGTTCTAGTTGAATAAACCTTTAAGTTTTAGACTAGGTTTTGTGTTTTTCAGAAATTTTAGGTTCGAAGTCAGATATTTCACATAGAATTTAACGGGAAAAATCAACAATACTATTGGGTTTTGAGAGCAGTAAAAAATTGCCAAACTATTGTTGATGCCAGTGCTGCCAAAAATAATTGCGGCAACCATAACGCAAGAAAGGAAGTATAACAGTAAATAACTATCCAAGATGGATGTTTTAATTTAGATGAAAAGTTAATTTCATATAACACTTTTTTATTATTATAATTTATATAAAAAAGGCTAAACATGACTGAATGGAAGCATAAGAGTAAATAAATATTTCAGATCATTATTATAATTTATATAAAAATTGTTAAACATAACTGAATGGATGCCTGCATTGCTATTTCACTACCGAGTTATTACTAAAGCATAATTTCATCTCGTTGGTTGTTCAAACATAATTTTCTATAATGAATGATGCCTTTTCTATGAAAAGGTTCTCGGTAAAGTGCAGAATTGCCCATTTATTTGTTTGCCACTTTTTACAAGTGTAAAAACAATTGGATTTTTGTCAATTTTCTTTTACTTTTTAAGTGAAAATAGGTCAATGTGTACATAGATAAAGTCAAGGGTATGCGCATTGCCATTTTTGTGCAATTCTGGGATTTTTTTTTAAGTGAAAATAGGTCGATGTGCACATGGATACCAAGTATGTGCAATTCTTAAAAACGCATCAAGCAATTGGTGATTCTGCACTTTAATCAAAATTCTATTGCAGGCTTTTCATCACGGGCAATTCCCAAATTGTTAAATCCATAGGATATCAAAAAAGGATTTAAAAATTGAACTAGTATTTCAACGGCGTCTTAAGAAATATAGAACTATATAAACTTACACAATCTGAAATCAGGGCATATGCTATATTTGGCGTGCTGTTAAATGGGCATGTTTGCGCCAAATCTAGCAAACACGTTTATTTAACTGCATTTCGCTGTAATTTTTTTACAATCCTCAAAACGGAATAGTACGTCATATTCTTTTAGGAAGACAAAAGCAAAATAATATGACACAATTAATATTTGAGTTAATATCAGTATTGCCAATGCATGTTAAAAAATAGAATAGCACATTAAAAATAACATATAGTTGAGAAATTCTGAAAAAGTGTATAAGCTGCATGCATTTTATTATCTGTTATTATCTGTATCTGTAATTGTTAAACAATAAAGTGCTTTTAAGCTGTGAAAAGTAAAATGCTTGAAAACACTTTCTTCATTTCAGTCCTTTCAAAGCATACTTAAAAGTACTCATTATGTTAAAAAAATTATATTATGATTTCTATTATTTACTAAAGCTTATTGTGAAATTCCTGCTGCATTTAACATATAGAGTGATTGGGCTGAATTAAATAAATTACTAAAATAAAAAAGAAATATTTTTGGTTTGTAATTAAAATCATTAAATACTTTTTACAAAATTATACTAGCTAGACTTATAATAAAAATATACTATTTAAAAAGCGACAACCCAATTATCTGTAATAATTCAATTTTTACATATTACAGTAAACCTGTCGAATGATAAATGGCAGCAGTAACTACTATGACATCTAAACTTGCTTTTCCTAAAATATTTCTATTCATACACAGAATTTTCTGTGCAGTTAATTATTTGCTTTGGTCATGTGAACATTGGTTGTCATGAATTTGAAAACAGAACAAAGAATAGCATTTGCTGTCAAGTGGAAAAGATAGTAATACAGATATTTTGAAATGTGTGCACTGTATACAGAAATCAAGCATTACAACAACATAATGTTCTTCATCGATACGTATGACTTCATGATAGACCTGAAGATACTGACGATGAACCCAGAAATCATCCTTAGCAGTTTCAAATGGATGAGAAAATTGAAAATTTTTCACAATTGTTGTTGAAAAAAAATCACCTCTTTCTTCAAAAGGATTCTAGAAATGTCTTGAACAGTTTTACCTCTTCATTAAAAATTAATAATGTTATATCTTAATAAATTAATAAAATTAGTAATTGAAAAATTAATAAAATTAAAAAATCAAACTATATGAAAGATCTACAAGACTTATTATTTATTTTCAAAGAATTTTTGATACTTTCTGATTCTTAAACATAACTGAATAATTAAAATTCCCCCCCACCAAAATGTCACGAAAGAGCATTCATGAGGCAAAGCACTATGTCAGCACAAAGTGTTTTATGTGGCAACCCCATGCGTGTGCATTGCAAATCTGTTTTGGCTGGTGTGCAATGCCAAAGTTGAACAATGCCAAGTTTGTACAGTTTTTTTGAGTATTTTTTAAACAAAAACAGATTGCTGCATGCATAGGAAGAACAAACAACAGTGCAAAAAAGAAACTCGGGTATATGCATAGCACTTGTTTGTTTTGGCTAGTGCACAATTTTGAAGTACCAAGTCTATACCAAGTTTCTGCAATTCATTGGTGTGTTTGAATGAAAATAGATTGTTGCGTACATGGGGAGAACAACATCACAAAAAATATTTCTCGAACTCTTTTACAAAAAGTTCACAAATGCCCTCCAAAATTGCCAACAGGATCCCAATGTTTTGGTGGCATTGTGTATAATTAGAAAGTACTAAATTTTTTAGTTTAGGGAACTAGCAGAATTACTTCAGTGATACTATGAATTAATGCATTATGTGAGGTATGTGAGGTGCAAACTCATACACAGTTTTAGCATAAAATATTCAGCACTGCCATTTAAACCGCATCAGTAATTGCTCTAATTACTTATAACACAAATACTTGTATGAAAATATATCAGAAACAAATTCAAAAGTAAAATTTCTCTTAATTATTTTCACTATATATGATATAGTTGAACTCTCACAGCACATTTCATTTCTTAAATAACAGTAAAGCAATAAATAAGTGATGACAAACCTTAATAATTAAAACTCATTTCTTAGCATAAACCACACATTAATTAGAAAATTCAAATAAATTAGATCATATAAATACCTGATTACATAAAATACTTTTATTCACTTCACAGTCACAGCATAATTTAATTAAAATTTGTATCACATGCAATGCTGATGAAGCCCAGTTAGGAACATGTTTGTCCTGGATATGAATAAGGAGCTCAAATAACATTCTTATGACTTCTCCATGCTCAATAACATTTTGCTCAAAAATTCTGTGCTTAGCAGTAATAATACTACTGCAACCTGCCAAATGCAATAAAAACATACTTTTTAAAATAAAATACTAATTTCATGCAATGGAAATTTATAGATAATGTTTTGGTATTATTGTTCTTTCATCATAAAAAGTTATTAAAAATCATTTTAAAGTTTTGTTAAAAGAGCAACAAAATGTATTACAGTCATGAGTAGTAAGATGTTTGTAACATAATTTGTCACAACACTATATAGACATAAATATAAGTTAGTTTTTGGTATGGTACAGAATATCATTTTGCTAGTGATTACACTTACTTTCCTTACAGAAATTAAGAAATGCATCATATTTTAATTAACAATTTTGGAGGACTAAACTAAAAAATACTAACAGAAAATTTTGTATACGAGATATGAAAATAATCCACAATTAAAAAATTTTACACATATCATGATTACAGCTCGTAAAGTCTTTTAGAAACTGGCTTAAAAGGAAAAAATTTTAAAGCATACCAAAAAAAAAAAAAAGGTCGCTTGTTTGCTAGTATAATACAGGCTTACATATTTATAAAAATGTATATGTCTCAACACAGAATATAAAAACCTGGAAATTGTAACAAAACTATTAAACTATATTTATGAAAAAATATAAGAAGTCAGATTGAAATACACTTTTTAGTAATTAGCAATTGACCTGAAAATCTGAAAATCTACTGAATTTAATAATTGATATCTAGTTTCATAACATAGTACAAAGTCAGATCCAGACCCATCGAGACTTCGGCAGTTCTGGATTTGGGATTTTTCTAATATTAGATCATCAGTTAAAATGACATGTAATAAATGTTGTTGACAAATAATGACATGTTGAAATTATAAAATTGAAAATATGAGTTTATGATAAAATAAAGAATTTACAACCTTAAAAGAATCAATATTTACTTTTAAAAAAATACGCTTTATTAATTATTTCTTTCCATGTAAGATTTTTAAGTTGCTTTGTTTTTCGTGCTATTAATCTCTCTTTATTTCTACAGAGAGACAATTTCTTGCTCTGTTACAAAATTCCAATGTCCAAATCCTGTAATTGTCATGTGTAAAATTCTCACTAAATTATCAATACAAATTTTATATTCTTAATACACAGCCTCTCAGCCATAGTCAGCCTCTCAGCCACAGTCTTCACTATCAGTAGCAATACTTTCTGCATTTGGAACCATACTACAGATTTTGCTGTCCATTAGTTGACTGATGGTATGAATATTTTCATCACAATCAAAAACTTATTATTTTATTTTTTTAAATTTTTTTATTTATTATTATTATTTTATTAGTGTTTATTATTTTTTACAAATTCCATTAATTGGAAAATTTTGCTTTTTCTTTACAATGTCTGAAAACCTTCAATTTCGCGACAATCATCATAAAGTTTAGCTACCATCTGTCATATACTATTCATGAAGTTTCATAAAATTGTTAACTAAAGAAAAGTTGTTCTGCTAAATTTTGTCTTGTTTCTATAGCATGCTGATGAAGTTAAGCTCGAATTACATTAGTTTAGTTGTTTATTATACTTACACCTATTTTCTGTACATGTTTATCTGGTTCACAAATAAATAAATTCCCACATATACTTAAAGCGTAAGCAGGGCTGGGGCTAGAAATTTTGTGGCCTGATGCAGGCTCAGCAAAAGTGTGTCTCTAAGTTCTAAAAACTTTGCTGTCCCTAAATTTCGCATCCCAGTATCCTAGCTAAATTTAAAAATTTTGTCATCCCTTAATTGTTTTACTCAAGTGCTTCCCTAAATTTAAAAAAAAAAAATTTGCTTTTAATAAATTCTGCTACTCGTGGCTGCACCAGATCTGACACTGGTCTCATAAATTCTGCCACTCAGTGTGGCTGCACCAGATCTGGCACTGGTCTTTGGCTTATCTGAACAACAAATTACTTATTTTCAATTCAAACAGCACTAAATGTAATTTTTTGTCCTAAGAGTATTGGTTACAAATTTCATTGTTCACAAATGGTAAGAAATTTCTGTTAAATTTCTCTTCATCAACAAACTCAACATTTTCAGTGCAGTTAGCTGAGTTTGTAATCATCACCAAGCTCAAGTCAACATAAAAAGTTACCATGCTCTTCAATATTCAATTACTAATATTTAAGAAAAAATGTTTAGACATTGTTGTGCAAATCACTTCTAAAGCTACTGTTGGATGATGACCATACAGTGATGAAAGCAAAATAATAACTGAAGCTTCGCCAGGTAGACATTAGGAATATAAATTATTCAGCAAGAGTAAAATCAATGATGTTTCAATATACAAAGTTTCAATGTGAGATGCATAACACCAGGTAGGCATTAAGAATATAAATTATTCAGTAAGTGTAAAATCAATGATGTTTCAATATGAGATGCATAACAAGCAAAAAGACAGTTATGGAGCCAAATTATTGATCACACAGATTTATGTTAATAAATAATTGTTTCTTCAGTATGGAAGTATTTTATTTAGACATGAAGTGAAATTAAAAGTTGGGGTTCTCCATGTGTTTTATTATGAAAAATATCACATGTGTAAAGTATACACGTATATGTATAAAGTACACAAATTCGCATGTGTAACGTATACAAGAAAAATTCTGAAGGGAGAAAAAAAAAGGTTGCTGGTGATTTTGAAGATTAGGAATTTAGATCATTCTGGGTATTTGACAACTAGATTTTGGACCTTGTATTGCATTTATAAATAATAAAATAATGTAACAAGCAAAAAGACAGTTATGGAGTTTTGTTTGACATGAAACCAAAACAGTTTGACATAAAAACATTTTTCATAATATTTAAAAAAAAAACTAGTCCATAAAAAAGGCCTGTAAAAAACAGTTTTGAGAGTAGTAAGATTAGCAAAAGGTTTCCAACAAAAAGTGTAGTAAGGTTATTAATGCTCTTACATATTCAAGAATTTTTTCTATTAAAAAATTTTTTTAAATAAAAAACTGACTGCAGGTTAAAATCTTTGATTATTTACTAAAAATTAATGCAGATAATATGAAATTAAATATATACATTTGTTATCGAATATTGAAGAAAAGTCACAAAAACAATAAAAGCTCATTAAAAAAATAAATAAATCGATATAAAAATTGGATGTTTTCTGAAGAAAATGCTGTTGGCCAAAAATATAATAAGCAAAATAGCAGTGGTACCTTTCATTAGCATCATGAGGTTGAAGCAAAAGAAAATATGCCAGATTGAGATCTTTGATGTGACTGTGATAAAGAATCTAAGATAATCAATCTATTAGAATGATTTTAAAGTATCATTTGCCACATGAATTGCAAATGAGAGTCACTGATATACTGAAGGCAGAACAAAGTGAGATAGAAATGTCAAGATTATTCATGTAAGTTCTCCTATGACTGATAAACTTTGAAAAAAGCTCTATGGGTTGGAAGCATTGAAAGACCAAGAGTTACAGCGAGCATTAAAGACCACTATCTGCAGTTATATACACTAAGTGATAGCAACCCAACTACAATCTTCCCTAATCTCATCTTTTGTTGAGTTATATAAGATTTCATGCAGGATGATTGTATGCAAGCAACCAGGCATTTGTATGCTTCTCACTACAGGAAAGGTCCTTATGAAGAGCAAGTCAGCATACTCACTGGTAGCTTATTCTCTTCACAGATGAATCCAAGTTTAGGTAGCAGAAGGATATCATGCATTATCTGATTTCCAGGAAACAAAAAGCTAGCTATCACAGGGTTCGTACACATTTCTGCACAAGGAAATTAAGTACTTTTAAGGACTTTTAAGGGCTATTAATGAAAAAAATTAAGGACCTATGAGCAAATGGAAACTGAATAAATTCAATTAAAATATTATATCCATGTCTGAATGAGAGTAGGATGCATTATTATTAAACATAACTTAATTAACATAATTATATTAATAGGTTGAAATAAATTATTTTATGAAATTTATCAAGTAGCATTAAATAGTATTTTACACTCATAAGACTGGACATATTGAAAGAAGATAAGTGAACATTTTAGTTACGTTTTACTAACAGTAAGCTTTTTTTTTTATTGTCTAATTTTGTCACATACTTGCTCAGTTCTAGAGGTTTAGTAAATAGTAAGTAGATTTTATGTCAACAGCATAGGTTAAATGAGCATTAAAATCATAATCAGCATGATTTATAACAAAAGACTGGCTGTTTCACCACTCCTACTGCCTATAGAGAGTCCTGCTGATAGACAAACCTGAAGGCCTGATGTATGTACAGTTAGCAAGTTTCGAAGTTAGCTGACTTCTGTCTGGACCCGTTAGTGTTTAGCTTCGTGTGGAGCCAGAGGCTGTACTCAGTTATATACTTAAGGTTCTATTAAGCCACTAAAGCATTAGCGTGATAGTTTTGTTTCGCATTATCTCACTAGATGCAAAGAAAAGTTTCACAAATTTTTTATATTTTTGTATTTTACCTTGTAACCGGTAAAGGTTTAACTGCTGACCCCGCACTGATTTCAATATTGTGACCATGGTGCAATATTGCCAACTTAAATTATTCATAAATTATACAAAAAGGAAGGAGATGCACATAAAGTCCGAAAGTATTGTTCGAAATGTTATGAGACAATTCAAACTATTGATGCAAGACAGCCAAAAATGTTACCAAATAGTTTGTTTCGTATTGCATATGTGTAAGCTAAGCCTATTTTTGTTAGAACATTTCAATAAATTTCATTAAAACTAGATTTGATCACATTTCATTGAGACTATACTTATTTTTTAACTTTAATACCATTTCCCATAGAAATGGGAAAAATTCTTACCATGAAAAAATTAAAAAGACATTTTTAATTAATTACACAGCTATTTTGCTTTTGCTAAAAACTGTCTTGTAAACTGTGCTTTATAGCAATATTCCTTGCTTATTTTTCAGATACAAAAAATTGTATAATATGCGGCTAAAATGGAACTTTTTATCATGACAATGAAAAACAAAAATGCTTTATTTTAATGTTATTTCTTAAATATAAT